AGCCGCTGCATTTCTGCTGCCTGGACTTCAGCCTGGAGGAGCTGCAGGGCGAGCCGGGCTGGAGACTGAACCGCAAGCCCATCGAGTCCACGCTGGTGGCCTGCTTCATGACCCTGGTCATCGTCGTGTGGAGCGTGGCCGCCCTCATCTGGCCGGTGCCCATCATCGCCGGCTTCCTGCCCAACGGCATGGAGCAGCGCCGGACCACCGCCAGCGCCGCCGCCGCCCCCGCCGCCGTGCCCGCGGGGACCACCGCCGCCGCGGCCGCCGCCGCCGCCGCCGCTGCCGCCGCCGCCGCGGCCGTCACCTCGGGGGCGGCGACCAAGTGACTCGCTCCGCGCCTCCCCGCGTCCGCCCGGCGTCCGTGCTCTCGGGGTGCCTTTCCCGCCGGGAGGCTCGGCCCGCGTGCTTCGTGCTGTCGTGTCCGTTCGTTCTTCGGGGGAGGGGTCGCCAGAGAGGCGCGGGCGCGTTTGCAAAGCCAGGTTTGTGCGGCGCTCTGGCTCCGAAAAGACGCCAGCCCTGGTACCCCCCGAGGGGAGGGGTCCGCCGCTGGGAAGACGGAGCGGAGGGAAATGGGGCCCTTTCCCCTCTCTTGCATCTCCCTGCCCTCCTCCCTCCCACACCCACGTGCCCTATATTCATGGCAGAAAATGACCAAATCCTGTGTATTTGTTTTATATATTTAATAACTGTTTTAAATGAAAGTTTTAGTAAAAAAAACAAATCAAATTGCTATTGCTGTAGTAAGAGAAGTTCTTTGTATCCGAACATAGTATTTGAAGTTCGTTTGTTTTTTGATTTATTTAAAAGGGGGAAGCGGCATGGGAATGATTTAACACTGATATATTGTTACCGCTGAAAATGAACTTTATGGACCTTTTCCGAGTTGATCTATCCAGTGACGTGTCCCGGTGGGCGTTTCTTCTTGTACTGTGTTTTTTTGGCTTTTAATACAGGCATTTTCCTCCAGAGTTGCGTATGTCGCTTTTTCTTTCTTTGACTTACAAGATGTCCCCCTGAAATGTGGAGGGAGGGACTCTTCAAAAAGTTAGAGAAGGGCTCGTTCCGTCTCCCTTACCCGCCTGGGAGAGGTGGGAGATGGGAACCAGGTGGCCAGCCCTGATGGCAATGGATTTGCCTGGCACCACACTGGCCCCATCCCCACCCCTCAGCTCACTGACGTTTGCCACGCTGGCATACAGGGTTTTATGGGATGTATCACTTTACCCACTGACCCAAGCTCAGCAAAGCACCCAGCAAGGGGCCCAAAATGGAAAAACCAGTACCCTATTCTGAGCCGGGTGTCTCACAGAAATGACTGCTTTTCAAAAGCACGTAGATTTCCTTTTCATAGGTGTAAACTTCAGCATATGAGCACATTTCAAAAGCTAGTCTTAAAACCTGAGATATTATTTTGGCATTAAGAAGATTTTTTTAAGGTAAACTGTTTGAGGACTAAATCGTTAACGATGGCAAGGCTTTCCTCACTCACAGCATCTGTGTCACAGTGCCTGCTGGGTCATAGTTCCAAATTCTTCCTGCTTTTCAGAAAGTAAGTGAGAACTCCTTAAAGTGACTTAATACAAAAACCACTTGAGCAGCCGCTTTACCTCGCTCCCTCTCCCCGTGTTGGAGTGAATACTTGATATAGTTCTAGAGCTTCCGTCCTCAACGTATGGTCCCTGGCATCAGCAACATCCGGGAACTTGGAGATGCAGAACGAGGGCCCCACCCAGGACCTACTGAACCAGGAACGGGTGGAGCCCAGCAGTCAGTTTTAACAAGTCCTCCAACGGATTCTGTTGCATTTCAAACCTGAGAACCTTCAGCATACGTAGCCGCCTTGTATCTTGAGATACTGCTGTTACATCAAAGGAACAGGGTTCTTTTTTCATGGGAATCTATCTGAAGGAGAGGCTGGGTCATTGCCCTGCCACTCCAGCTGCCCCTCGGGCTCTGTGGGACCCAGGGCTATCTCTGGCAGAGGCCAGCCTCTCAGAGAGGAGCAGGTGAGCGAGCTGGTCCAGACACTGCAGAGGTGCAATGTAACGCAAGTCCCCGAGCCTTGCAATTCCTGGTGTATTATGCTCTGCCCTCTTCTTAACCCTGTGCTAACTAGCAGGAGAAAATCAACAACTGCTCATCTTGGTCAATTTTAATAAAAGCATAGCATTTGTAAGTCTGGGAGCCACATTAAGCATCCCAGTAGGGGGTGTGCAGGAGATAGCTGCTCGATGTTTCTCTCTCACTATCTCCCTTCCTCGCTCTCTAAAATCAATTTTAAAAAACATATTTAAAAAGAAATGTTCAAATGCATACATTACACAAATTTTCACCCCAGCAGGTGCCTGATTCTCAGGGCTCTGCTTTCCCCACTCAAGGACTCTTTTGCGGGGGGCCTCCCTCTGCAGAAGGTAATGGGGAGCTTCTCAGGGCAGGTGGTTTACAAAGGCTGACACGTGGGTTTAACGCTGACACGTGGGTCAGAGGCCAGCTGCAGAGGATATTGAAACCCATCCGAAGACCGTCTCCATCTGGGTGGGGGAGATGGGCTATCTTCCCCATCCCAAGTTTATCACCTCCAGACACAAATCAAAGCCAGACCGAACTTCCCACCCCTCCCGGAGAAAGATCCCCGCTCTCCCTCTCGTGTTCGAGGCCCCAGATGTGGCTGATAAGGAACAGAACATAACTTTACAGCATGAACAATGGGATCTGTCTCCTCGAGTCATAAGCACGGAGCCGCCTTGCAGCGTCTGGGTCTATTTGATGTCTTTGGGGCGAAAATGAATTCTGAGATTCAATAAGCAGGGAGGATATTGCGTCTGTACGATGCTGCCCCCAAAGCTGTCACAGCTCCACGCGGCCGGGTAACAGCCACGTTCAGAGGCCCAGCTGCAGGGGCGGGTGCTGAGGCCAGACCCAGAAAGAGGAAGGAGATGGGCCCAGAGGTGGGGCCATCAGCCCAGGACAGGAACCATCAGTGGGTCAAATGTATTCAGCGCCCCTCGCAATAAATGGACTGTGTGAAGGTCTTCTGTGATGGGCTTTGTTCCATCAGGATGGGGTTCCCTAGAAGCAGAGCCTGAGATGTGGGGAGCTCTGAGGAGGAGGGGAGTAGCAGGAGGGGCAGGAGAAGGGGCAAAGCAAGCATGTGCTCTCAGCTGGCATCACTTCAGCCTGCCCCCACAGAGCTCAACAGCAAGAATTACACCCAGTGTTGCCCCACCTGGAGGGAAAGGGCTGGCCTTTTGTATTCTCATCTCATTCACTTGGTGTTGGGAGCTGCACAGCCTCTCTCAGCCCCCCTCTCGCTGGGCCCAGATCCCCAGAGAAGGAGCAGCTGAGAGATGTTAGCCGCCCACCCTCAGGGCAGTTGGGGGACAGTCCGATCTGCAGGCCTGAGAAGGGAATCTGGGCGGCACCCCAGCATTCACTGCAGACCTCACATCGCTCTTGAGCCCCATTCCCAGCTATGTTTGCGATTTCCACTCATGGAGTCATTCTGCCTGCAGAGTGGAGTGAGGAATGAGACCACGCACGTACAAGTGCTCAACTACTGGTAGCATTCTTACTCCCAGGCATCAATTAGTACTCCTGTGGGCCAGCCGTCTCATTCCATATTCAGAAAATACTTAGGCAGTATTACTATGTGTCACAGTGAGCCCTGCGTACAGAGTGAAGATCAAACAGGCCTGAACTTTGCCCTTCATGGAACACACAGCCTATTTTAGCACCTCCGAGGACCAAAATATTAAATCCATGCTTATGGGCAATTGATGGAAACCTGTGTAAGTTATTCTTACTATTAATTACTGTTCTCAGAAGCATTGCCAAAGGGTGTCAGTGACCACTGGTGTTGTTGGTGACCTGAGCAAGGCAAGCCAGTGCTTTGAGAGTGTCGTAATGAAGCTGACTGCCTTTTTCCCTCTTTTTTTTTAAATGAAGAATTGGGGTGTCCCGCCCAGATTCCCTTCACAGGCCTGCAGACCTCCCCCAGCTGCTGTGAGGGTGAGCCTCCATCGACAGATAAATGGATAAACAAAATGTGGTACAACACACAATGGAATATTATTCAGTCTTTTAAAAGGAGAGAAATTCTGACACATGTGACAACAGGGATGAGCCTTGAAGACATTACGCTAAGTGAAATAAGCCAGTCACAAAAGGGCAAATACTGCATGACTCCACTTACATGAGATACTTAGAATACGCAAATTCATAGAGACAGAAAGTAGAGTAGAGGTTACCAGGGGCTGGGGGAAGGGAGTTACTGCTTAACGGGTGCGGGGTTTCTCTTTGGGATAATGAAAAAGGTTTGGAAATAGAGATAGGGTATGGTTTCAAAACATTGCAAATGTAATTAATGCCACTGAATTGTACACTTAAAAATTGTTAAAATGGAAAATTTTATGTTATATCTATTTTATCATAAAAATGTATTTTAAAAATAATAATAAAGGAAAGGTTTACCTGGCTCCAACCGAGAACTGAACAGGGGCCAAAAAAGATGGGTTTTGTCCCCTGCCCTGTAGAGTGACCAGAAACAGCTCCTTGCCTGGAACTATGCGGCCCCGCCCTCTGTGGGGCAGCCCCGCCCCTTATAGGGAAACCACGCCCCTCCGGCGCAGCTCCGCCCCCTCTGGGGAAGCCCCTCCCACCCCACGCGCTCCCAGGCTGCTGGCCTGCTAGCACAGGGTACCTGGGTTTTCTTTTCCTGGTCACCGGCCTGACATTCAGGAGGGAGAGCCGAGCAGACCCTCAGTCGACCCTGATGCCGGCAATGGGAGCCCGGCTTCTGGCTCCTGGCGGGCCTGCAGCAGGCCCCCGGGGCAGACAAGCGCCAGTGGTCCTTGTGGGCAGGACCGGAAATGAGCCGGAGGGACACGGCCCTTCCCAGTTTGTGCCAGTTCCCTTGTCTTCTCTCTCAGGCAGGTCTGGGTCTTGCAGGAAAAGAATGATGAAGCCATTCCCTCACTCTCTCCTGCCCCCGGGAATTCTTCCTTTATTTTCTTCTTCCAAGATTCCCAAGGCATCTCGGGTTTGGAGGCAGCCTAGGGGCTTGGACGGAGTTCATGATCGTGTCCAGACTCAGGGCAGAATTTGAAAGATTCCGCCTTAACATTTTACAGAAGGAAACACGTTTCTGCACAGTCATGGTTGGGCTGAGAGAGAGAGAGAGAGAGAGAGAGAGAGAGAGAGAGAGAGAGACTTAGTTCAGGCAGAGGATGAAAACTCTACTATCCCAGTACAGGCAGGAGCAGGCGCGGCAGCCCACTGGGAGACCAACACAGGTGTGATGGGACCCATGACTACAAGGAGGGACCCT